TACAAATAACAATACAACATAGAGATCATCGCGACATTCCGAGAATTTCGAACCGTCTTACAAACAAATTTACGCTAAATCGAAAAAAAAAAACCGTTGACTATTTGATTTTCTCTTAATAGAATCAAACCGCAAAAAAGAATTGTTACGATTTTGAAGATTTTATAAATATCTATACAGAAAACCGAACCTAGGGCCGGCTCTAGCCAAAGACAGATTTGAATGGGGCTGGGGGAGGGGGGTGGGGCCCCCTGATTTTTTTTGAAATATATATATATATATACATATATATACATATATATATATATATATATATAAGAAATTACAATAAAAATATGTATAGAAATGTAAAAAAAATTACAATATATTAATAATTATTTTTCTATGCTATTTTAATTTAAATCAATAATATTATTTATTCGTTGAAAAATATATTAACAATCATTATATTTTATATTTTTTGATAAGTTTTGAAAAATATTTCTAATGATTTACTTTTCGGTCTCTTAATAGTAAAATGATTTAGTGATTTATAAAACTCAGTATTTAGTTGAATTGTTACATTCTTTTAATGTTGATTTTTTACTTCTTTTTTTTTCTGTGTAAACCCATATTTTCATTTTTTTTTCTTCTTATAAAAACTATATGAAATGTCCATTTGATAAAAACTTTTATTTTTTTTTTTTATTTTTCTTCTTATAAAATGTCCATTTGATAAGTTTTCATCAATAAAAACTATATGCAATGTGCTGCAAAAGTTTTATTTATTTATTTTTTGTTCTTAAAAAATTGTTCATTTGATAAACACAATGTGTTGCAAAAGTTTCTTGTTTAATTTTTTCTTAAATTAGTTTATTTTTTAAAAGTTTGAGGGTGATACAAATACTACGCTTTAAAAAATTATTCATTTGATAAACACAATATGTTGCAAAAGTTTCTTCTTTATTTTTCTTAAATTATAAATACACGAAATCTCTTGTTTTTTGTTGTTTATTTTTTAAAAGTTTGAGGGTGATACAAATTTTAGGCTTTAAAAACTTGATGGTACACATATCGATATTTATATTTATTACATATATTTTTATATGAAATGAGCGTTTCGACTTAAATTACAAGCTCATTATAATATTAAAATCAGACCCCCTTAAATAATATTTTTAGATCCGTCACTGGCTCTAGCCCAAGACAACCTGGGCAACGGCCCAAGACCCAGACTAGAGCCCAATTGAAAAACTGACATCTAAAATATAGGCGAAATTTTATCTTTTACCACGTAATTTGAACTTAATTGCAAGGTTACAATGGGACAATTTTTAATTGCATCCTTACCAATTGCATGACATTTAATTGTAAAGATGAAAGATATCAGTTACCAAAAATCAAATGCAAGCCTACTTAAATTACGGAAGTTATGGGATTTCAGATTTACCTTATAGAAATAATAATAATAATAATAATAATAATAATAATAATAATAATAATAATAATAATAATATATGGTAAATTTATATATCTTACAAATTAGGAAGTTGTTCAATTCAAATGAAAAGTTAATGAATTTGAATTTCAGACGGAATTATCTTCTAATTATATACAAAATACACTATTAGGAATATCAGTCCATGTTGATGATCTAAAGCTGCAAAAATATACGAAATCAACTAAGGTATTTTGTTCAACATTTTTTTGTTTATTTTGTACATTGTGTTTTATCTATATACTGACGGTATATTTTTAACGTATGTTACGTTTATACTCAATATATTTTCAATATATGTTGTGTTTTTATTTATATAACATTATCTAACTATAATTGTGATATTTGAATTTTTGTTTAACTATTTGTTTATATTTCTTACTTAATTTTATATGACTAAATATGTACATCATTGATATGTAATCTATTATAAATGGCTCTCATGATTTAAAAAAAAAAAACATACATACTATATTACAATTTTGTTTTTTCACTAAACCAAAATTCAGTTTATGTTTGGTTTATAATTTGTAACTTTGTATATAACATATAATTAGATAAATACAATTTATGTCTCCATAACATATACATATACATATTATGTATTTGTAATATACAATGACAAAATCGATCAGGCCAAATAAACATTGAAATAGATCTTGAAATATTCTAATATATATAACATAAACTATGTATAAGACATCAATAACCAATGAAACAGATACTATAACAAATATCCATATGTCGTCACTGCCACAACCAAACATAAACTATGAATAACACATCAATAAACTACTAGTATCGTGGCCCGTGCAAATGCACGAAACTATTCGAAATACGGTTTTGCTTTAAGTCCACAGTTAGCTCCATAGTAAAGTCAATCTTCTTTATAAAGCAAGTAAACCATAACATATTAATAAAATTATATTAGTGTTATTTAAGTAATCAGAGAATATAGTTGATTTACTTATTGTATATAACTCAACTATGGAGCAAAATGTTGACTTCATAGCAAAACCGTTATTTTTTATGAAATATAACGACGTGGACAAAAAATTATTAATTAACGAAAAGTTGGGTAACTAAATTGATTTAGTTGGGACATCATGTAATAAATGTGCAAATGTGTACAGTGGGGGAATAAAAAATTCTCAAATCATTTTATTATCTTAACACTTTTTATTACAGTTGGTTTGAATTTTATTATTAATGTCTTCTTTAAGATATACATATCCTTTTATTTTATAATTTTGTATTCATACTTAACTTCTATATTTTTTTCAAATTTATTTATTCAACAATTTACTATATATTGAAATTACAACTATTATATTATTTTAAAAAATTTAATTATCAAATGAATTACCCGTAATATTAGAAGTAACTAATGTTCAAGTACCGTTGTAATTATAAAAGTTTATGTAAATGAACAAATAATGAGAAATGACATTCTTTAAATGAAAAGACCCATTGCATGCTTTTTAACTTCATAAATGAACATTTAATTTTCATTATGTTATATGTTATGTGTCAGAACCAATATATTGTGTAATTGATTTATTTTTCTCAATATTATGTTAAGTTATCATGTTAACATCATTATCATCGAAATTAAAAATTAAGGTTCTAAATATTAGCAGTTGTATCATGTGAACATATATGCAAACTCAATTTGCTAGTTAGCATTCTAAACATTTTTTTTTTTTTGCCAGTATAAATACATATCTCAAGTTTTTTATTAATAAAAACATTTTTTAGAAGAAAAAATCCTTCTAATAGCTTGTGTGATTTTATAATTTAAAATGTAATTTTATTTATTAACTATTATTTGCTATACATGTAATACAATTTTTTTATTGGTTAACCATTGGTTTATGTAAATAAGTACCATATTATTATCTAGTATCTTCATATTTTTAGGAAGACATTAAATATAAATTATTATTTAATACACATCATAAATAATTCACCGTGATTCAACATATTTTTAGGAAGGCATCAAATATAAATTATTATTTAATACACATCACAAATAAGTCACCGTGATTCAACATGTTATGTACATGTAAAAAGATATTTTCTGTTATATTAATAAGAAATCAAAACAAAAAATTAAACTGTCTATATATAAATGACAACAAATTTGGGTCTACTTATACTGTAAACTATTATTAAAAAAAATTAACGACGGGTGAACAGTGAATACATTTAAGAAAATAATAAAAAAAAAATTGAAACTAACTTTTCAATAATAGTAATATGATGAGGGACCCACTAAAACACTTAGGGGTGATTGTTTATGAACTCATCTAGTTTTTAACTAGTTTTTTTTTTTAACCATAGTTACTTTTGAAAAAAGTTGGTATGGATAGTTCTTAGTAGATATATTAAAATAAAATAATTAAAGTTGATATGATGTAAAAGTAAGAGAAAAATGATTGGAGATGATAGTTAGTTAAAACTATGTGAGTAGATGAATAGTGAATTAAAGTTGATGTGATGTATAAGAATGATTGGTTGGATGATTGATTGATATTATTTAATTATATTGATAATATTGGAGATAGTGAGTTGAGTTAAAGTTGAATTAAATTTGAGTTTTGATTGATTTTTTTAAGTGAATTGATAAACAATCACACCCTTATTATTTTTAGTAAGTATGTTGTCTAATTATATAGTAGATGGATAGATTATACAATATCGTTGTTTTAAATTTTCAGCTCGTAAATGGTCACTGCAAAAGCATCTTTGGGAGACATGAAAATGAGTTGTGTGGAGCTGATTATGATATGTTAGAAAGGGCCGAAGCCCGCTGGCTGAGGTTATCATGGACTATGGCTGAAGTATAAATGATACGTATTCCCTCCATTTTGAAATATAAGGCGTTTAAGGTTTTTGCACAAATATTAAGGAGACATTAATTAATAAATAAATTGACTAAACTAACTTTATTTATTGAAAATCATTATGTATTTATTGTTATGGTTGCCGCTATAAATGAAAGTATATTTGGCAGAAAATTGAATAATTTGCCTTTGTTTTGATGTGCGCCTTATATTTCACAAAAAATTTGAGAATTCCTTATATGCCTAATATTTCAAAATGGAGGGAGTATTAGTGGGAAAAAAAACTAAATCTATTAGGCTATTCAATTAATATATTTTTTTTCAAATTTTTAATTAATTATAATAATAAATTATTTTATATATATTAATTAAAGTGTAATTATATTTTGTTAACTAGAATCCGTAGTGTTTTTTTTTTTTTCATCTCTTGGATAGTTTTTATTTAAAAAAACAGCTAGTTTGTTTTAATGACATAATCAAATGCTTTAAAAGAGAGGATTAGAACTTTTGGGTTCCTAACCAAGATCTGCAAATATCTTGATTAGCCATGGAAAATCAGACAGCGAAAAGACAAAAAGCTTGTCCCAACTCCGGCGACGGCAGAATCTCCGAACTGCCACAACCCTTATTGCACAACATTCTCGCTTTCCTCTCCCAAGAGGAGGCGACCAGAACATGCGTTTTGTCCAAATCATGGCGTTCTATTGGCCCTACTCGCCCCAAAATCGAGTTTAACGAAACGTGGAATGAAGAGAAGCATGAAAAGTTCCTATCCAATTTGGACAGTACGCTACAAGTTTACCGTGGCCGGAAGATTTGCTTGCAAGAATTTATATTGCGTGTAAGAAAAATTAATGCTAAATCTGTTTCTCTCCTTAAAAAATGGGTCCCGATCGTCTTGCTCGATATGGGCGTTAAGAGGTTCCATCTGATTTCCATCTCGAGCTACTTTGATTTGCCGTCGATCGTCTTTGAAGCTGAAACCCTTGAGGATTTGCATCTCAAGAACTGCAGGATTGAATCTGTTGAGAATGTACGTTTATGGCATCTGCGTAAAGTTTCCTTCTTTGAGGTCGGCATT